CGTGTATTCTGTTTCTAGCCTCCCAAGTGCTGGGATTACAGGCGTGCGCCACCACGCCCAGTCTCAGTCCCGCGGCAGCGCGCCCCGGGGGCGGGGCAGGGCCGGCACTGCCAGCTGGGTATCGAACCCGGCTACTCCGCCTGCCTAAATGGGGGCTTTAGTCCGCTGAGCTATCTGGCCGGTCTGATTCGATAATGTTTTATACAAGCGATTGTATAGTGAGCATATTTGGGTGTGGAAGCTATTCCACATGGGTCAGGAAATCTCTTAGCTCCATTTCAACCCGAAGGCACCCCTGCCCTCTGGGACTCCAGCTCTCCATGAGTACTGGCCCATTCTTTCTAGATACCTGTCATTTCGGCCATGTGGGCCTGCGGGATACCCATCACCTGGTAGCAAGCCTCGATCTGCTGTGTCACCAAGGGTTTCGTGGGGGCCATAAAAACCACCTTGCCGGAAGGGAACCAGCGGTAGAAATTGTACATGACGACGGCGGCAATGAAGGTCTTCCCCAGCCCGGTGGGCAGACACACCAGCGTGTTGCAGAAGAGCGCGGTGCGGGCGATGTGCAGCTGGTAGTCGCGCACCGGGCAGTTGGTCGGGTAAATCCACAGCGCGCCGGCGGCGGCGCAGAAGCCGCCATGCTCCCGACTCTGCTGCCGCTCGGCCTCGTACACCGCCACCAGCAGCACGTCATCGTCCGACTCGGGCTGAGCCTCGGCCGCGGCAGGCAAGTGCGGCTCGGGGCCGCCGGAGCCCTGAGGCCGCTCGGCGCGGGAGCTCCCGCCCGGAGCCCCAGCGGACCGGGAAAGGCTCGAGCCCCACGTCTGGAAAAGCGTCCTCTGCCGTCCGCTCATGAGGCCGACGACCACCAAAGCCTTCGATGGGGCACCGACAGCCGCAGCAGCTCCGGAGCGGCCTTGCTAGCGGGCCCCATCAGTCTCCTGGCCCCGAACCGCGGAAAGAGAAGGCGGAGCTGCGGCCACGCCATCCAGTTAAAAAGGCCGCCGCGGAGTCCGCGCCTGGAAGATGATTGGCTGGCTTCCCGGAAGCCTCCGCGCCTTCCTGGGAGGTGAGCGCGCACCGCCCAGGAGGTGTCACTCCAAACGTGGTCCTCCGTGCAACCTCGCGCGTTGCTCTGCTTTTGAGTTCCGCCTCCAGTGTCTAAGTGTCTGGGCCTCGTTGCTAATGTGATGTCGCTTACAATGCAAAAATAAGTAACCTTGAACTCTAGAGCACGAAACTCATAGTTTCAAAGTTTATTTTTTTTTTATTTTTACGTATTTATTTATTGGCGGAACCAGGGTTTGAACTGAGGGCCTTGTGCTTGCCAGGCCAAGCGCTTACTCTACTGAGCCATCTCCCCGGCCCCTAAACTCGTAGTTTCGTGAAATGAATGCTGTCGAGAATTTTCATCGGATGAAATAGTCAACCAAAAGTGTATGGAGAGAATAATTCATCTTTTGTCTAGGTGAAATAAATATAGCCTAGAAACCTGGTGTGTCAGAAGTAGCAACTCCTTATTTTAATGTTTTTGTTGTTTAAAAGGAATTGAATGTGATCTGGTCCTAGTAATAGAAAATGCAGATAAACAGAGGCAGCACCTTGCTGTCCCGCCGTTACTCGTTACATCTTCCAGCAGTAAGCTTGGTTGCTCAGTTATTCCTCAGTACCCTTGTTTCTGCCTGATGCAGTTCGTAATTTAAGACGCAGTTCCTGACTTCCTCAATATGGTGGCTTTCGGTAATTTGGAAATTTTTTTATTCTTATTTTTAGGAAACGTACAAACAGGTCTTGTAGCTGTCATGAGCAGTAATGCCACCCTGATCACCAGAAATTGCAGTTCTCTTTCTGCTTTCTTTCTTTCTTTCTTTCTTTCTTTATTTATTTTTTAGACAGGGTTTCACAAGGCTTGGCCTCAAACTCACAGCGATTTTCCTGCCTCAGCCTCCTGCGTGCTGGGATTACGGGCATGTGCCACTACTCCCAGCAGAAATTGCAATTCCAAGCGCAGCTTCTTTACTTGGTTTTATCTGTTCAAACTCCCAAATTTATTTTTACACAAACTTATGCTGTTTCGTTGGGGATGAGGAGCATCTAGACGTGGTGATGCACTTCTGTAATCTCAGCAGTCTGGGAGGCAGAGGCAGGAAGATTCGGAGTCTAGACTCGCCTGCAGAATTTAGCACCTTTCAAGACCCTGTCTCGAAATTTAAAAGAAAAATAAAATAAGGATATATCTCTCAGTTCCAAAGCTCTGGTTCAATTCTGAGTTTTGCAGAAGGAAAAGGGGAGGTAGCAGAATATGGATTATTCAGATGAGCAAGAACTGAGCTAATTCAGGTGTGAACCTTAAAGATAAAACTAGATAAAATGAAATTAAGAACCTAAATACCGTTTCAATTATAACGGTTATGGAACTGCCTTGAGAAAAGCACTAAGCGTGAATGGGTCTAATTAACACCTAAAGGTGCTCACCAGGGCCCAGCTAAGCTTGCAGGGCCTGCTATCTTCTGCACAGGCAGCCTGGAGGCCACCTTAATAAAGCCGCGACTCAACAAAGCCCCCTCACCCCACGAGCTTGACGTCACTCAAATCCAGGCGCCAATCCCGCCCCTCGGGGCGGTGACCCCGCCCCGCGGAGCCCAGGCCACGCCCAGGGGCGGGGCGCCGCCGACCCGAGGCGGGCTGCTTTAGTGCGGCGGAGCAGCGGGGGAAGATGGCGGCCGCTGTGCCCCAGCGGGCGTGGACCGTGGAGCAGCTGCGCAGCGAGCAGCTGCCCAAGAAGGACATAATCAAGTTTCTGCAGGACCACGGTTCAGATTCGGTACCAGAAGCGGCGGGGCGGCCGGGCCGGCGCAGCGGCAGGACGCCTCACACCCCCACACGCGCGGACTTTCGGTCTTCCCCCGAGCCCCGGGCCGCCCTGCCCGCGGGGCGCAGCTTTCCCTGCGGCGTGTGGCGGGCCCGGTCGCAGGATGAAAACCCCGGGGCTCCTGAGTCGGGGTTGGGGCTGCGAAGAAAGGAACCCGGGGATGGCGGGGCCGGGGGAGGGGCCTGGATGGGATCCTCGCGGCGGGCGGGGGCTGCCGGGGCCGGGGCGGGGACGGGCGGACGCGGGCGGTCTGTGCCCCTGCGTTCTCGCGGATTTGCCGAAGATCGAGCAGTAATCCCAGGAATTGTCCAAAGCGGGTGGATATTGCTCTTTAAACGACCTTCTCGCCTTTATACCAAAGGAAGTTGCTCGTGCGCTTCTCGTGCGGTGGCCTCCCATTGTTAGGAGCGATCCGATCAGGGAATCTGCTCGGCGTGCGTCCCGATGTGCGGGCGCCCAGCGTGTTCATTAGTCTCCATTTTAACCACTCGTCTGTAGTCCCAAGTTATTTTTGTTAGACCCGTTTAGTCCCTTAGAATTGCACTCATACCTTTTTTTTTTTTTTTTTTAGTGACTTTATTTTTCATTTTTATTTAATTTTATTTTTGGGGTACCGGGAATTGAACTCGGGACCCAGCGCTCAGGCAGATGCTTAGTCTACTGAGGTATCTCCCGGCCCCGCACCTTTTTGAGTTGCTGAGCTACTGTGCACACAAAATATTTTAGCCAACGGAAATAGAAGCTGCAGTCTCCATGGGGAGACCCCATCGTTTCCTAAGTTGTGTTACCAATATTATTTCTACACTATCAAAATAGTTTATGAATTGTTTAAATGTGTTTTCTCCGGTGACCATCCTTAAGCCAATATTGTATTGCACTCAACAGAATCGGTCCCGGGTTCTTAGGGGACTGTGTTTTCATTTAAGAGGGTCTTAAGGGAAAATGAAACCTGTAACTTCCAGTTGCTTATATGTGCATAATTATATTGACATCAACATCTTGGGCTAATTTAGCAAATATTTATACAACTTAACTGTGCGCAGTGTTGGGGCATTACAAGGGGAAGAAAGGGGGCATCAGGGACCTTCTACCATTTAATGGCATTATTGTCTTAAGCCAGCATGTATTTTGTCTAAAATAACCCTGCCATTAACGTTCAGTGCCTAGATGCTGTACTTTATTAAATTCTTACAAAATAAATAATCCCAATATAGATGGTGATGTTAAAGTGGGGCAAGAGATTTGGGTTGTAGCGTTTTTCTACCGATGATTAAGTGTGTATGCTGCAATGACCACTCACTTAATCCCCAGGCTGGAGCTTGGAATCCTCCTGCCTCAGTCTCCCACAGTGTGGTTGCAGCCATGTGCCACCACAGCTGGCTGCCAGTCTTTCTTGATCATAAGATAGCAAAGAGATGTTTGTATTTGATATGTTTTCACAAAAGCTTGCTAAAAAAAAAACTCAAGAGTACTGACTCATCTGACCAATTTTGTGTAATCAACTAGCTCCTGATTTCAGTTGGCCTTTATCATTTAGAACACTTCTCTAAGGGGAGGAGAAAAAAGCAAAGAGGATAAAATAATCCTGATCTTGCTAGAAAAGCTGTTAGAAGCTGGGTGGAGTGGCGCACACCTGTAATCACAGTTACTCAGGATGCAGAGGACAGAGGGTCCCAAGTATGAGGCCAGCCTGGGCAGCAATGTACTGGTTTACATTTTCACCAGCAATCAACTCCAATTTCCTAAGCAGCCACTATTGGAGACCCTGTCCCAGAATTTTAAAGTGCTAGGTTGTAGCTCAGTGGCAGAGTACTTGTCTACCATTAGTGAGGCCCTGGGTTTAACCCCAAGTCCCACAGAAAAAAGAAAAATTGTTAGAAGATGGCAAAGAACAACTTTGACACTGACACAGTAAACCCAACAAGGTAGAAAAGGAAGCAGAAGACATAAAAAAAATCCTCATGTAATTTTGAGCTGAACATTAGGCCTTGATATTTCAGTACCTGTCTTTGGAGATGTCACTTCAGTCTTGTATTTGAGAGAAAAGGAATTCTTCTACCTTCAATTATAAGTACAGTATTTTATTATAAGAGCCAATATTAAGTTCTTGCTGTGATGGGCGCAAAGCTAAATGCATTCTATCCTTAGAGCCTTTGTTTTGGTTGCTTGGTTGGTTTTGGTTTTTTGAGACAGGGGCTCACTGTGTAATCCAGGCTGGCCTCTAACTTGTGACAGCTGCTGTGTGTATTTTGTCCTGGGTGTGGCTGGAGACCCCCCAGGCAGGGGCAAGTGGCCTTTCATCTGCAGCAGCTGCCTCTGTTTTCACTGTGTGAATGTTTTTTGGGATTTTTTTTTTCTACATGTCTTTATTTTTAATTAAGCAGGCTATCAAATACAGTATTTCAGTTTTTCATTGGTACTACAGCAAATATAGCTACTAACGGGAAAGGGTAATTTTCTAAATTTATTTTTTGGTTTGTTTTGGGGTTTTTTGTTCGGTTTGGGTTTTAGAGGTAAGACCCTACTCTGGTACCCAGGTGTGACTCGGGCTACTAGAGTTGGTGCTGTCCTCCCCGCTCATGTGGCCCGGTCGCTGGGACCAGAGACGCCACTACTGCACCTGGCTCCGCTTCCTCCTTTTAGAATCATCTTATCTGAGAGAAGTGATTTTGAGTAACCAGTATTTTTTTTCTAGTTTCTTGCAGAGCATAAATTATTAGGAAACATTAAAAATGTAGCTAAGACAGCTAATAAGGATCATTTGGTTACAGCTTACAATCATCTTTTTGAAACTAAGGTGAGTATTATTACACTGTATTATCAGAACCTCATTTCAGAAAAATTTATTTCTAAAAGAAGTTCTAAGTGCATATATTTGTAGAAAACTTTGGAATTTTTCCTCCCTGCGGTTGTTCTTTATATTGGACCAGCTTTCAAGTTTAGCAGGACTTATCTGCAGTATAACAGAATATTTTGATATTTTCAAAGGGCTTGATTTTAAGATTTCCTAGTACCTTAAATTGAGACAATAAATTCTTAAATTATAAATTCTTTAGTTCAGTTGGTATTACTGTTATTAGTTTTGCCTGTAAAATCGTACACAGAGAAAGTATGTTCCATTGAAGTAAAGAATTTAAAGACTGGTTTATTTATTTATTTATTTATTTTTTAAAATTGTATTTATTTTGTGTGTGTGTGTGGCCAGCTCAGCCCATCTAGGGGCAGGGCTGGCTGGCATGTGGTGCTAGGGGATTGAACCGCGGTCCCTGTTCTTTAGCTAAGCTTGTTCTAAGTAGGTGCTTTAGACCACTGAGCCAACTCTCCAGCCCCAAGACTGGTTGTTTTGTTTGTTTGTTTTTTGGTGGAACCGGGGATTGAACTCAGGTCCTTGTGCTTGCCAGGGAAGCGCTTATTCCACTGAGCCATCTCCCTAGCCCAAGACTGGTTTATTTTTAAGATGAGCCTTTCAAAAAACAAATTTTAAAAATTTCTGCCGTATTTCTTCCCTGTGAACTGATGGTCTTCCACTCAAAAAGGATCTTTTTTAAGGTATTTAATAGTATTCATATAAACTGCCAAGGATCATAATTTGATTAAAATGCTTAAGATTTCCTTTGTTCTTACAGTTTATTAAGTGATTTATTTTATATGTGTGTAAATGTTCATTTAACTGAGAAGCTGGAAATCTAGCTCACTTTTATTTAGCCTGTCCTGAATTTTTTTTTTTTTTTTTTTTTTTTTTTTGTACCGGGGATCAAACTCAGGACCTTACACTTGCCAGGCAGGCACTTATGCCGCTGAGCTATCTCCCCAGCCCTGTCCTGAATGTTGATGCTACAATATTTTTCACAGCGTTTCAAAGGTACTGAAAGCATAAGTAAAGTGACTGATCAAGTGAAAAATGTGAAGCTCAATGAAGAAAAACCCAAGGAAACCAAGTCTGAAGAGATTCAAGATGAGGTTTGTGTGCTTTCTATTAATTATTACTTGTGATACTATAGCAAATAATAGCTTGCTTTGCAACACAAATTTCTCAAAATTCTGGATGGTTGAGTGGCTGTTTTCAGTGCATGACCTGGTAGGAAGGAGCCAGTAGATGTGACACAGAGGACTAGTTCTGTGTGGCACCAGCCCATCCTGAGAAAGCCTTCCGACTTTGGGTGTAGTATTGCCTGGGCCTGGCCAGACCTCCTGAGCTCACAAAGCTATTTTAGGGCCCTGATTCTTTAGCTAAGTTGGACTGAGTGGCAGCAATTCCTTTTTAATTATTTTTAGCTTTTTCTGATGTCCATAGTGTCCCTAGCATTAGAAAATAGTCCAGACCTGGCTGCAGGGTGTAGGTTCATCTGTCACAACATTCCAAATAAGAGTTTTATATTTTGGTACTAACATTTGAAGAACCAGATAAAAACATTTCTCAAAAAACAAAACAAGGGGGCTGGCCAAACAGCTCAGCGGATTAAAGCGTCTGCAAGCAGGTGCAGGTGCAGGGGCGGGGGTTCAATCCCTAGGCCTGCTCTTGCTGGCCCCACCCCTGGACACACTGAGACAGCAACTGAGACTGGGTGTGGTCATACGTCTGTAATCCCAGCTCTTGGAAGGCTGTAAACAGGCAGATCACTACAAGTCTGATCTAGTAGTGAGTTGAGACCCTGAACACCCTGTAGACCCTTCCCTAAAATACGAAGAAAAAAAAAAAATAAAAACATTTCTCTAGTTGGAAAGCCTTAGTGCTAAGAACAGCTCTAAGAGCACCCTTAGCATATCTGGGTTGTTTCCA